GGGCACGGCGGCGCGCCGCGTCGGGGCCGCTGGCGATGCCGGCACCTGCGCCGCTCTCGCCGTCGCCGCTGCCATGGTCGCGTACTGCGTCCTCGTCCTCTGCACCGCTCTCGCTGCCGGTCTCACAGCTCTCGGCGCTGCTGCAGCTGCTTGCATCGTCGTCGCCCTCCCCCTCCTCCTCGTCGATGTTGCTGAAGCCGCTAGTGCGGTGCAGCCCCATCAAGGCAGTGCCGGAGTGGCGCGCCCGCGATGGTGCCAGGTGCCCCTGCGGCCCCTGCTGCTCGTCGGCGCAGACGTCGCCATCCGCGCTGCCACAAAGCTGCTTGAATGGAGAGACGCAAGGTGCATGATGGCCGCGGTCCGAGGCCCCAGCAGGACTGGGGGCCAGTGAGTCCTCCATCGCAGGTGGGACCGCCTAGCAAGACCCGTCGTCTGCGTGAGATTTTGTGTCACCCGCAAAAATAATTTCCAAGCGGGGAAGGGCGAAGTAAGGTCTCGCACACGGGGCGGCCAAACGAAACAGGGCAGAGCAGGGTTGAACGAACAAAGATCCTGTTCGAATACGTGTAATATGAATATTCTAACAGAACGGTGCTTGGGGAAGGTTGTGTATGCGCATGGTATGCGCCGACAACACAGGGTGACAAGCGAGCATCACTCCATCCAGCTTTTCCCACCTCGTGGCTGCCAGAACCTCGAACAAGCTCTTTTCACGGGTTACTCCAGTGGTCCAAGGACTTACAAGCACGGATCTATCTAAAAAGTCGCAGCAACGCCGTCCAATCCCCGTGGCGGGCTGTAGACACGAGGACGCAGAATACATATATAAGCAACCGGGCTGCATTTGTCGGGAAGAGAACAAATTTTGCCTGCATATGTACATCGGGTGCCCGCCGGCGGCTTGCACGGGAAAACCCTTTCGGGCCATGTGTCCAGCTGGCGTTGTCAGCGCATGCAGCGCAGACCAGGTTGTCACGCGAGGGCCTTGGGGTCGGCAGTGGTCCGGATCCAGGCGTGCTTGGGTATGTCCTCCATACGCATGCGCGCCGACACATCCTTAACCAGCAGCTGCGGGGGCCGGCGGTGACACGGCGATGACGTCAGGTTCTGCCGACCAGAAGTGGTGACACTGGAACAGACACTGAAACACCCACTCACTCACTCACATACACACACACACACACACACACACACACACACACTGTGCACACACACACACACACACACACACTGTGCACACATTTGCACAATACTGTACCCCAACTGTTGGTTGCGCAGCAGCGGCACCCAGGCCGGCAGAGTGGTTGCATGCACCCAGACCACTACGACAGCCGTGATGCTGGGCGCTTGCGCAGCCCACCCACGCGACCCGCAGGCCTGCCCCACCCCCACTCCGCACCCACCTTCCGCACAAAGTCACGCGCGCCGTCGCTGACGCGAGGCGCATCCGGGAGCTGCAGGTCGACGCGCACGATGCGGCGGTACGTCTCCTGGTGGCCGGCCGCCTCAAACGGCGGCGCGCCAAACAGGAACTCGTAGGTCAGGACACCCAGGCCCCACACATCCACGCCTGCGGCGGCAGGGCAGCGGTGGCAGCAGCGACACTTTCATGCATGCTGGACTGCCGGCGGCAAGCGGCTTCAGCCCCCTCCACAAGTCTGGGACCCCCCGTGTGCGATTGGCCCCGGCCCCTTTCCACTCTTAGACCACTTGCCGAGCGTGGCGCAGGCGCCGCCCGCCCACGCGCTAGCCCGCCCCCCCAGCTTTGCCCTTTGCCACCGTCCCATTCCACCCCACCCCCCTGACGCTGCTCTCACTGCTGTCGTGGTCGCGCCCCTCCACCATCTCCGGGGGCAGGTAGTCCAGCGTGCCACACAGCGTGCGCCGCCGGTTGTGGGGGGCGTGCACACTCCAGCCAAAGTCTGCGATCTTGAGCTCCCCGCGCATGCCCACCTATGTCATGTGTACATGTGTGTGTATAAGTTTTGTGTGTGTGTGTGTGTGTGTGTGTGTGTGTGTGTGTGTGTGTGTGTGTGTG